AAATCCTTATCAGGAACATTATTTTTACATTCATGTTATGGTTTCTACTGCTTTGTTGCGTAAGCAGTGAAGTTAACCATTCACTGGCAGATATAATGACCGTCAAAGATGTTACGTTTTACTTTGTCTGTCAGCATATCCGCTAGTGTACAACATTTTGTATTAAGTAATTAAATTTACAGAAAATAATTAAAAAAAAAAACAAAACCCAAAACGTTTTACCACTGTCGTAAACTTTTTAATTTTTTTTTAACATTAACTCATTTTTAACAACGTTTTTGATTTTTCTTTGGTTCAACTTCAAATAAATATTTTTAATGGGTTTCATTTTTTATTCATGCAAATATATATTTTGTACAAAAAATGTTAAGCTTAAATTGTACTCGCTATGCTACATGTCGGACAAAGTGACAGAATTATTTTTTAATATTTGAAAACTTGAGCTTATTTGATAGCAATAAAAAAGTCTTCTTGTCGCTTTTGTGCTATTACTAGCAATAGCGTTCCAGGTAAATGTTACAAGTAACATCATCATTTCTGTAGGCCGACATGAAGGTAAGTGAATACACAGCTTTAATAAACTATGAAATGATAATAAATGCAACAATTCGACTTACAACTAAAAAAATTATATTTTGTAACAATTTTCCGATATTTGGCATTGAATTGCAAGAAAACAGATTTTTTTATCCGAATTTCAAAACATAAAATGCGTAACAAATTTTCCGTAACCGTAATTTAACGTAAAATTTACGTTGAAAGAATTTAACGACATTAAAAAAATGGTTTGTTGATGACCGTTTTAATTAAAATATTAATATTTAAAAAAAACAATTCGCTTTTTGTTATTGTCGAGATCATTTCTTTATGGAAATTCAATGACATTTGAATTTTTAATTCGTATTTGTTAAACATGACATTCACTGTCCAATAAATCAACGGACCCAACGGGAAAGTTTTTTGCGTAAGCTATTTGTTAGCTTGATTTTGTCTTTGTCTCGGTAGTTTATCAACATGTTAATGAGTGAATATCGGGCTTATGACACAGTAGAAACCATTGCGATAGTCTAACTATCTGAGTTATTTATTTTCTCGAAAATAATTTCTAAGCTCGCAAAATTGTACGAAAGATTTGACGAGGCAAAAATATTTTATTTACTTTCTCTTAAATTGTACTACGATTTTGTTTTTCATCCAAAATATTAATTTTCTATCTTCACTGGATTTATGATAATGGATACGGAGTCACGATACTTTTTCGGTAATGTTTAACTCGACAAATTTACAGAGAATATTTAAGCAGATGAAAAGTTTATAAATTTCTTTGAAGTCTTGTCTTCTTAGTTTTACCTTCAAAGAAATATTTTACTCGTCGTACGCATGATTTTTTCTTACGAGATTTTTTTTTTACTTCCATTTTCATAGCGATGTTAATTCCATTTTCGGATCTTTCTGCAGTCACTTCAATAAAGAAGAGGCCACACCGCAAGCGAAGCTAAGTTTGCTTAGCTCGCATGATTGCATGCAACAAACTGTGCGAGCTGAGCTAACTGAGCTTAACTTAGTTCATGTAGCTGCAATCAAAGCTAAGCTAAGAAAATATGGGTCCGTAATGAAGTGCTACCACTCGACGCTAGTCTTTCCCTGCACGGGGGTGAAGGGCGTCAGAGTCTACTTAGCTTAGCGGGTTTGTTGGGTAGTTAACCCACATAGTTCAGTTAGCTCGGTTAGCTACATGGCGGTGTGAACAGATCGCTGCTTTTCAAAAATAGTTGGTGAAACCAAAATTGTTAATTTTATCTTTTTACACAGTGGCGCTCAGAATGAGCTAACTTGTTGTGAAAAAGACACCGATCTTTTTATTGTTTGAAAATAATCATGGGAGAAAAGGAGCCTATATACAATTACTATTCATCTGCTTTGCATTTTAGATATTCTACAGTTGTTGTTAAACCATATTTCTGACGATTTAGGTGATTTTAGAAAGCATCGAGATGTATGAAAATATGCTAGTCGAGCTAAGCTATCCTAGCTTAGCTTTGCTCGCGGTGTGGTCTCTCTTTAATCATTGCAAACTTTTTGACATTAATATTTTACAGAATTAATAAATTTAATCTAAAAATTTCCATTAGCTTAATATTATAAGAGTAATGACTAATTTAACTAATGAACTAGTATCTCTTAGTTTAATTTTAGTGTTATCAACAGTCAATTCTTTAATTATTTATTATCATCGTCGAACGTCTTACTAGATTTATTCTAGATTGCTAACGATTGTCCTGTGTTCGATTTTTATCACGATTTTCCTGAGCAAGTCTTCTCGTATTAAAAAAATGTTTATTTTCAGGTGGACATTGACTGTCCTGCGTGCTGTTGTTTAAAAAAACGCGGTTGAGTTACTATGAATGTGAAGACATAATTTCTACTTAATACTGTTTCACATTCTTATCTGCAGAACTGAAAACGCAGCTTTACGTCCGAGCAAAGAAATAATATTTTTTTATTCACATCCGAATTTCCAAAAATTTCTTTTTAGGAAAAAGCCCCAGCCAACAGCACATTCGAGTACCTACCTACTCAATAAAAACAGTATTGCAATTCTGTCTAATTTAGTGCAAATCTATACCTTGTCGAAGCAACACTGCTTGGTGACTTAGTAGTAACCGAACATGAGCTCTTTATATATTTAGATGTTCTTCCAGAATCTATAGATTTTATGGTCTAAATTAGATTATAGCTGCCACGATCAGAGATGGTCAAGCGCCCAGGTTTTAACCCGACGCTTTGTCAATAACGGGTTTAAATTGGCCTAAAACCCAATAACGCCCGAAATCGAGGGCAACAACTATTTACTACTACTAAATATTTGTCGTAAATCGAGTTTTGTTCAAAATTAATAATATTATTACAAAATATTTATTGCTTTCTGAACTAGATGATACGTTTTGACTTTCCATTGAATCGATTCGCTTGAAAATCGAATTGAAATAAACCGATATAAAAAGAGTTAGATCGAATTGAATCGATTTTCATAAAATCGCATATAAATGTGCATCCTTAGTAGTGATTAACAGGATTGCAAGGTGGATATTGTGTGGAGTTGCCTCTTGTGCGTCTAAAAAAGATTTTGACATCAAATTTTATAATAAATATGGATTTATATATATATATATATATTCCGCATTCGTTGTTTCCTCCCACTATTCGAATTGGTGTGAAATGGGTTAAAACCGGCGCCGTGGGTAAAGACCCGGGCGAGTAGACTGGATTTTAAACCACAGCCCATCTCTGGCCGCGTTTGATTATTTTTCAAACAGCAACCACATAAAAAAACAATAACAGAATGTACAAAATCATTATCCAAACATATGGACGATTATCCCAAGGAATTTGATTAAATTTAATAAATTCCTTTTTCAAATATGTCACCTAGTCGCGATCCAACTACCACTACATGGGCCGACGAGTTTTGGCAGTTCTTAAGGCTCAGTTCAGAACTGTCAGTTACTATGGCTGGTTACTAGCAACACTACATAGACACTAGCGACAGCAATCATTATCACAGATAAGTTGGTGACTCTGTATGTTGTAGCACTTTAAAAATGACACGTCACTTCATATGAAATGTATAGTTTAATGGCTTCTTAAGCGACACATTCATGAGCGAATTGGTTTGTGACCATGCAACCTCCTTCACTGTCATCCCACCTTTATTATCACCCTCTTTACTGGTTCCTGGCCACTTAGGGCGCGTTCCCATTGTATTGTAACGTTTTATTTATCGTTGGACGACAGTCGCTTTTAGCCTGTTCCCATATCACGACTGTCTGTCGTGACTGTGTCGTGGACGTTTTTTTTTATCGTTGAACGACTGTTGTGTCATTCTAGCTATTCCCCCTGAATCGTGAGGACAATATATCGGTTCACGGCAGCTGCCTTGTCGTTTTCACGACAGAATCGTTCGATGCACAGACGAGGGCGCGGCAGACGAGACGGGAGAGTAGTAGGGGAATAGTAGCCGCCATTCAGTGTCGAGGCGTGAAAATTGTCGTTAGTCAAGCCGAAGCAAAACAAAAAACACTTTCCTTAAGAAAAAGTGTTGTGTGTGTAAAAGTGTCACAATTTTATTAGTTATTACAAAGTTATTAGCACACAAGGTACTAGTATACGTCATTTGACTGGTTAACTTATTCTACACATAAAATATAGCACAAAATGAAGTATTTGATAATACGTGGAAAATTTTAGGCAAGCCGATGAAAATCAAGTTATATGGACGCCTCGCCACTGCTGCGATTATCTGTCGTCATGTTTTTATCGTGACGTTTTATTTATCGTCAGACGACAGTCGTTTTAGCTTTTCCCATTGTCTCGACAGTCTGTTGTCGTAATGTCAAAAAATTCGTGAACGACAGTTAATCAGTTCCTGGTGACTTGTAGCACAGGTGTTAAACCTATAGCAAATACAAAATAATGTTCTAAAATTACTAAGATGTTTATGTACTTCTTATTTGTCGTTGTATTTTGAGGAGAAAATAAAGTATTATTATTATTATTATTATTATATTATATTGTCTGTTTAAAGGTAAAATCACATAAGTGACATTTCTACAAAAGTCTTTATATAGCTATGGTAAGAAAATCACTATCTTTCTGCAGGTGAAACTCAATAACAAAAAGCTATAAATTCAATAAGTGGTAATAAGTTTATCTGCAGAAATATGGTGATTTTCTTACAACAGGTACATAATTTGGATATTTTTTGTGGATCTGTGGAATGCATGTGGTTTTACCTTTAAGCAAACGATATATTATAATCGTGTTGTACTATATGTGAACAACTTCATTTAAATACACAAGCCACGACACTTCAAACTATATGCCGTCATGACAAAATGGGAACGCGCCCTTATTTTTAAAATTTTGACTCGTTTTGGAATTTATTTTCTTAATTATTCTTTTTTATATATTTTATTTCGTTGGTTCGTTCCATCAGGACTCTTGTCAAAATTCTCGAAGCGAGAGGATGTGCTTATTAAAATTTATCATCACGTAAAACTCCAATTACACGTAATTTAACTGTTTTTAAAGCTTTTGATATAATATATACGTATATAGGCCCTCTTGGGGTAAGTGCCTCGACTTTATAGTTTAGTAGGGAGTGTTTTATATCGTTTGTACCCTTTTTATCATTCTATTATTTTGTTATAGTTTTTTGTTTCATCTTATAATAAATTTATGTCTACTACTTTGCTTAGCGAGTTTAAAGTTCAAAATTCAAAAGGAAAAAGAAATAGTGGAACTAAATCCGGTTTTATAAAAGATATTTCAAAGTATTATTGTGATCTTTTAAATGTTTATCGCACAAGAAATTTTTGGTTTTACAATTAGACGAGCAGCACTGCTCCCTTCGGTAATTAAGCAGAGAGTGACGACGGAACGAAACAAAATGAGAATGACGTGGCAAAGGAATTAAAGAACGATTCAAAATTTGAAAACAAGTGGTCACGAACCGGAGAAAAGGCGATAAAAAGGCTGAATGACGTCGGTGAGAGGTCGCATCGTCACACTCTAAAGCTAGGCTACAGGTTCTCCATAAATGCTTGTGTTAGCCGACGTAGCAATCGACGTAACGAGATTTTGAGTCAAAAATGACATGTCGGCTAACGTATTTGCTAATGAATGGGGCGCTTTACGGGCAAATTTGTTGAATTGTCCAGGTCAAAGTCCACACGTTCACTGCGGCGGTTGCATTTGCATTTTCCGGCACTGGCATAGCCATTTTATGATCCTGGCGTTGCGTTCGACAACACTCGGTGGCTCTGTATTGCGATAGATCTGCTTTTGTACACCTGGACCTTGGACCTGTAGAATCAAACGGAGTTAAATTAATAAATAGATTCAGGCGTTGCAGGATTCCGTACCGAATACCGACCCTGGAAAGGTAAAACGTCTTACGTGCATTTGTAAAATATTACACGAGAGCGATTTAAAGTAGGGTAGTACTGTCACCTTGCCTATTTCTGCCGCCAAGCAGTAATGTCAGAGCATTACTGTGTTGCGGTATTGAAGGGTAAGGGTGCTGGTGAAATTACAGGCACTTGGGATTGTCAACTTATGTCTCAGGGTGACGGGCGCAGTGGTAGTGCCCCTCAGATCTTTGCAATTTAAAGCACTGAGTGGCACTGCAACTGTTATGGATAGGCGTGTAGCTTACCATCAGACGCACGACTTGTTCGCCCCGTCACTTGATGTTTGGCTATGTTTATCACTTAAATATTCAAGTATATTATCGTGTAATTATTAAATAATATTTCACGATACAAAACTCGAATATCCAATAATATTGCACGATAAAAAGATCGACTACTTAAATAATAAAACTTGCTACGGAAATTAACTATAGACCACTATAGGTGTGGTTGTCTAGGACAGGGGCCTGTATACAGTTTGTCCGCTTTGCATTTTAGATATTCTAGTTGTTTTTAAACCATATTTCTGACGATTTAGGTGATTTTAGAATATTATCGAGATGTATGAAAACATGAAATATTCTTTATTGCACATAGAATTACAATTAAAATACAATAAAGTAACTTAGGCATAAAGATAGTGAGATAATGCGCAACACGCGGCCTTATTGCTGTATAGCAATTTCTTCCAGGCAACCTTAGGATAGAAATTTGGGATATGCAAAAGGGGTGCAAAAACATGTTATGTGAGCTAAGCTATCTTAGCTTAGCTTCGCTCGCGGTGTGGTCTCTCCTTAATCATTGCAAACTTTTCGACATTAATATTTTCTCGTATAAAAATTTATACGTGTTATCTAGCACATATAATTTTTTTTATGCAAATTTTCCCACCCTTCTCTTTTTTTTTCTTAAATTACTCAAACGTAACTACAGTCACACACACCACGACCAAAAATATACCCGGAATATATTCTTCGGCGGAGTGTCGAAAAGTCAACAACTCCTCTGGATGTCTCGTAGTAAGGTGAAAAACGTATTGAGCATATTTTTGGCAAGCACAGTTATTTTACACGATTTAACCTTCACGCGCTTCGCGAAGTAGGAAATTATTTATTTTTTTTTAAATTATTTATTCAAACAGAGTTTATTCTGAACTACATGTGGTGTTTTACTATGCACAGGTTTTCATTAGACGTCGTAATGTCTATAGTCTGTTTTTTTTTGAAAATGGAGTAAAATTACAGTGCATTGCGCAAAAGTGTTGCCCGCTTACAAGTAGCTAGTGATTGCAGTCGATAAATATTCGATAAATATAGAAATATCGACTACCAACTGAATGTCGGTTACGCTTATGCAATAAATCGGCGAATTTGTTTCATTTGAAACATCATCAATCCATTATTCGTCCAACTGCTGAACACAGGTTCACTTGACTTGTCAATTTTTGTAATTTCATACATACACTTCATTTAGAAGTTATTAATTTTAATTCAATATAGATACTCGAATCCGCATGTTCTTATTAAAATGTATGTGAATAAAAATTGATTTCGAAACTAGTAGGCCAACGGTGAAAGTAGGAATTTAGAACGTAATAATTCAGATATTTTTGGTAAAATATTACCATCGTTCACAATCTATCGCTAAAACTACAATCACTACGTGACTATTTAAATTTTTATGGAAAGTGGCAACCCTGCAAATGTCATTTTACTCAGTCCTTAAAATACAGATTACAGAAGGTTTTTAGTTGTAGAGTATTATTTTGATATAACTGTATCTTAAGTTTCAAATTTTCATAAATGAGGTCCTACTAAAAGAAGCATTATTTGTAAAATTTTGGTCCTTCGAACCGGATAAATAAATAAATAAAACTTACCGTATAATCAGCAGTAGCAGCCAACTGGTTAGAGTCCACTGTAGAGGCCGAAGAAAAATAAACTGGGCTCTCGGGAGGCTGCTCATGAACAATGGCGTCATAGTCCCTCGGGTCCAGACCGAGTCTCTCGAAAAACTGCTGAAGGCGAGAGGACTCTTCAGAAGGAGAGTCTGGAGAGTCTTCGCCTTCACATGGTGCAGAGGCTGGACTTCGGCCGTCGGTTCGTCTGTACCTGTATATAGATATACCAGTTTGGCTTGAATTCGTCGATGTAATTTGTTTCTTACGCACTAACTGTGCGATTCTTCCCTACTCCAAATATACGGGAACCTATCCAAGATACGCCTTAGCAAGTCGCTGTGATTCACATCTGATATGTGCAGTATGTGCTGGTTATGGGTGTTAAAAGATGAGAAATTTTTTTTAGACCTACGACACAAGGACTCTGCATTTTCTCTCTCTAATTGGAAGCACAGCAGGACCCCAAATCTGCCAATTTTAAATCATCCGAATTGTGTGTCTAAAAGGGTGGGCCAAAAAACGTTTTATTTGTTTTGAGAGATGTAATGGTATTTATTAGATGCCATTTACACCCAAAATACGCCTTGTAAAATAAAGCAGCAGCAGAAAACATTTGGCAATGACGATAAAACTTAGTTATTAGTTCTATTTTACCATTTGGCAATTTTTAGTGCGATTAGAATACAAAAAAAAAATCTTTTTCATATTAAGGTGACCCACTTTACTGTCGGTGGAGTGTTCATTAAGGCATTTTGTACCATTGGTTTTCTGTTAAAAGTGAAGAGCAGTGGATTGTCAGTGGCTAGCCATCGGGCTACTATTTAGCTGCCATTGAAATTTTTTGGTATTCTGCTCTTTAGTGACGTAGTCTACTTCTTCTTCCTATCGTATCGATGGCATAGACTATAATGCTTGCTATCGTGGTGAAATTTGCCATTCGAGGGAAGGATTCGCCTCTTGTTGCCCTCCTAATTATTTGATGTTTCTTTCGATTCGTTTTTACTTACAATGAGTATATTAAAAAGTAGGAATATTCGAAATGAAACTAATTTTTTGTTCAGCGTAACAATCGAAACTAACTTAAGAACTCGATATGCTAAATACATTGAAACTAAAATCGGGCGTACATTAATTCAAGGGCGCCATCTATGAGCGCATTGCATTGCATTGAATTTATATGTATATAAATTCAATATATAATATATAAAATTATTATATAATATAATTCAATGCAAATTTAATTACAGTTAATAGCGACATCTCTCGACAGGTCTGGTAGCTGCAAACTTACCTAACTGGGTGACGAAATACTTTGATAGATTTGATGAATTTGTAGTAAAATATAATATAACTTTTAAAGCATTAACTAAACGCTCGTCAAGGGCACATTACGTAGGCGCCTTTTTTGAACCAATCAACCAACACCACATACATGTTATTTCACCCCTGCCACAATTTAACGAACTGTTCGTATGAACTCAAAAAGGTCAAAAAGGACATTCACTTTTTAATTGTACTTCTTTAAGAAACCACCACTGTTTAATGATTAATGGAACTACTCCCGTAAACCAGCAACCCATTGCCAATATATTATAGTCAACTTAAATCGTCTTTCAATTTTACGAGCTCGTCGGGATCCTCATCATCTTCTACTTGGATCTGGCGGCTACAGATAGATTTCCTAAAGATGGCGTTACGGCAAAAATGTCATTGAAAACCAAATACAAAGATCCGACACTAAGCACATAGAAAAATTTATGAGGTTCGCTGGTTCGTTTCGTGGCTTAGTTGGCATGGCGTTGGGCACGGTTTGCTAGAAGACATCGTTACGAATCCGGCTGGGTGTCAGGATTTTTTTCCAAGTGTTCGATATTTGTATTACTAATTATAACAAATATAAAGTATTTTACCTGTCTGAGATATCTGACTTCGACCGCAGTATGGGTCTAGGCCGGCGTTGCTTGTAACGAAGACATCTCTGTCGTTTGAACGTACCCAGTGGGGACGTTACTTCTTCAGGCGGACATATCTGCAAGGATACAGATTACAGCAAAAATCATAACTCTTGGTATAGTAAAGCCACACGTGATTACACGAAAGTATCAAATTATGTACATGTGGAATTTATTCTCTCATATTTAAGTATGAAAAAGTTATCGACTAATGTAATTCGTAGTCTTTAAGGCGAGGTATTTTAGTGCGAGCCTAGATTTTAGGAGGTGAGGTCAAAAAAAAAAAAAAAAAAAATGGGGCTCGCGACCCGCAATCAGCGCGAAAACTAATATGAATAATCTCAGTACAGAGTACTAAAAAACCGATCTCTGTTTGCTAAGTTGTATTGAAATCGATTACGGAACAGAAGAAGAATCCTATCTTGTAACAAATTAGCACATTCTTTAGACAATATCCTTAGGTGTGATGTATCGTATATTTTTTGTAAGACTGTTATTTAATAATAAATACCTAAATCATTTGATCTAGCAAAACAGTTTCTCCCGCTTCTCCTCCCGTGGCTCGCCTTAAACCACCTCCTCCTAAAAGTTGTCATTTTGCAGATGCCCTATTACACCAATATATTTTATATCTATCAAGGATTTCATTATGACAGATCATTAAGACTATTTTTTAAGTGAAATAATCAATTGTTTGACAAGTAATTATTTATAGATAACATAAAATTTAAGAGACCAACACTTGATGGCCATTTAACCGGCGACCATAGAGTATGAAACCGATCTGGTATAGAATGCCAATTGCCTCCGTGGCCGAACGGTTACCATACCGGCCAGCCACGCAGAGGTCCCGGGTTCGATTCCCGGACCGGGAGAAATATTTGTATGCCCTACACTTACTTGTCTCGTGAGTTTGGGTGTAATTTGTGGTTGTCTGTGTATATGCCTATGGCACCCGCGATACAGGGTTTGTGTGTGTCCGTTATTTTATAGAATGAAAAGTCACACCTTGATATGTTTATCATTAGTTCTGCAACGCATCATTGGCGAACATCTTAGCTAATCAACATATTCGCAATTTATACCTAGACTGGTCAACATGTCATCCGACATTTTTGACGTACGATTGGTATGTTGGCTGACACTACCGACATGTTCCTTAATTAATGGGGCAGTTTATACCTGCGGAGTGTTGACATATTCCTGCGTGTCGTCAATGCGTGGTCGCATGCTGCGTACTTCCGCATACTGAGGCTGTTTGCTGATCAGTTCCGTGCTCGGTTCGTGGTATCTGTGCAAATTATAAAAATCATTTTCGTATTATTTGACAAGACTACGTCGTGCTACTAATAAATAATTTAAGTTGTTCAGCCGTAATCATGGGGCTGTAAAAATAGTAAATTGTGCATTAAGGTCTTCACTTACACTTCACAACACAACAATTACTGATGAAACGGCGGGGTCTTTGTATTTCTTTTTATAAACAGATGGCCACTTATTCTTCCACAGATAGTAAAATTCGAATAAAATGCTATAAAAGGTAAACACGCATACAGCTACGATGTATGTACGCATGAGATATAAAACAAATAATTTCAAAATACTAAAAATACTGCCGAATTTGGATTTATAAAATTAATTTAGTATAGTTCCATAGCAATTATTTAGTTTTTTTTTCTATACTTCAAGCTTATGCGAAATACAATCAGATGTTTCGAGGATAAAAACTTTTTGCTTACTCTTGACTATAAGAGAAGTACGGTGCAATAAAATAAATAAAAAATCCATTACCGCGAGTGTGGTAAAATAGTGAAAAAGCCCGTGGGCGTAATTTAGGACTTTACGGCCGACTTTACCTGCACGTCAAAACACTGTTTCCGAGCAAGTGTGATTAAAACATATATACGAAATTTAGATCCAAGATGTCTGAGACATAGATATGTGAAAAATGGACATGTTCTTAACCACTAATTACTACAGACGTGTTATAAATAGTTTTCCAAAGGCTAGACGAGATTTTGAAGGACATGGTATAAAAGGTGTTTTTTCTTACCTGCCGTAATCCCGGTTATAATCTTTCCGACCGACAGTTAGGCATTTGAGAGGTTTGTAAGTGCACTCGTAGTCCGTGTACTCGAACACCGGGAGCTCATCTTGGAATTGCGGTGGAGGTGCACTGGCCTGATGAGAAACCAACTAAGTAAGTAATAAGAAATACATGTCTAGGTTGGAGATGAAATCAGCGTGGCGGACATTTTCAAGGTGTTTAAAAACACGAATTGTCACTGTTAAATTGTCATTCCATTATGAGCACACAAAGTTGTACTTAAATAGAAGTTCATATTATTTATATTAACCTGGAAATGTATGCCCACTCTGGGCGCGAGCGGCGATACCACGTGCGCGGGTGGGGGGTAGGCGAGGGGCGCGGGGGGCGCGGCGGGCGGCGAGGGAGCGCCGTCCTGGAACTGCGGGGGCGCCGACACGAAGCACTGCTCCAGTCCCGGCGAGTAGCACTCCTCCAGGTAGCAGTTGTAGCGGCTGCTGGGAGCAGTACTGACATACAGGTCGCTGTTTATATGCTCGTAAGAGGTGCTACTACGGAAGCAAACGACGCGGCGACGTTTGGTATAGCTATCTCTTTCGACCATGAAAATAATCAACATATTTTTAACCGACTTCAAACGAGAAGAAGGTTCTCATTTTGATTGTATTTTATGTGTGTATGTTACGCGATTAAACTCCGATATTTGTGAACCGATTTCGGATGATTCTTTAAGAAGGTACCTCAGTAGTGACTGCAAAATATTTTACTTCAAGGGTGGCAAATTAGGGGACGAATCCGGTTTATTGAATATCACCCACTTCCGGTTAACCTACTTCAATAAAACTTAAATAAAGTGTTATAGTGATCCGATGATGGAGATGGCAGACAGGTGAGAGGAACTCCTCAACAGTGTACAATAGCTACCTTGTGTGCGGGCTCATATGATTAACTAGGTTTGGACTAATAAACTCAAGAGTCTTATATGGTCTTATGCCTAGATGGCGCTGATGAATAACCTGGAAGTACTTTATATTATGTATATGACCGTGGATACCAATTCCTCCATAATGTGAAATATAAGAAGTCACTTAATTTCTTGTAATATTCTTCTTTTTTATATATTATAATATCAAGTGACAGGACGAAGAAGTCGTGCGCCTGATGGTACGCTACACACCTGTACGTAACAGTTGCAGTGCCACTCAGAGCTTTAAATCGTAAAGATCTGAGGGGCACTGCCACTGCGTCCGTCACCCTGAGACGTAAGTCGACCAGTTCCATGTGCCTGTAATTTCACCAGCACCCTTCAAAACCGGAACACAGTGATGCCGACACTGATCGGCGGCAGAAATAGGTGAGGTGGCAGCACTATTCTGGACGAACTCCTTCACAAGGAGCTCTACTGCGGCTACTTCCAATATTAAAATTGTTTTCTGAACTTTGACAAATTTGCGTGTCAATAAATGGCAATGCGTGTAACAAACTAATTTATAAATTCACGCTTCCTAATATGGGCAGATGGCGCTAATCCTAAACAAAATAAAAGAATAGCCGGCACTATCCATAAAAATCTATACAATAAGCGTCATCTAGTTCATTTGTCTGTTATCACTAGAAATTAGAGTAGATTTCATAAATTGCAGTTTGTTAATGTAATGGCAATGGCAATCAAAGTCCCATTCCTCACTTTATAACAAGTTTATTGTATTTATGTAACAAAGATGTATATAATGTACTGGCCTTATTTATCAAAGGTACTTAATGTTAACAATCTTGAAATGTGTAGTTAATTAAACATACAATTATAATATAATTTGTAATTACCTTCAAAATACAAAACACTTATTAATACTCAGCTTCATATGAAATTGCATGCCTATTTTTATAGTAGCTATTGGTTTGTAGCGTGTATGTTTCAATAAAAAAATGTATCAAGATTGTTTACATTGAGTTAAATACCTAAACAAATGGATACATATACATCCATTTATATTCAAATTCCGTACCTTTTCCATAATCTGTAATTCTGTTTCCCTAACCTTTTGATTTTCTAAATGTGAAGGCAAAGCCATTAATAATAATGATAATAAAAAAATAGTGACAAAAATAGCTAATAGGTGCTCCTCGCGCCATCTGGTGTACCCAATAGGTACTAAATTCCTGTCTACGCTGTTTTGTATCGCGATTAGCAGTCAGTCAGGCAGTGTTTCAGTTGCCGTAAAGGAGACCGCGGTAAAGAGCACAGCGACAGAGAATAATCAAACTTTTGAGGTTCGGTTTTTTTAGTGTTGACTATGATTGAGAAAACAAAGTAGAAATACCGGTACTTCCATTTAAAATTTATCTTTTAGACCATACTGCTGGTTCGGACACGTGGAGAGAATGGGAGAAGATCGTGCCGCGAAGAGGGTAAGCCATTTGGGACAACTGAAAAGACGCCGACCGGTCGGACGTGTCAGGTACCGTTGGAGCGATGAAGTCCAGAAAGATCTCAAAGACCTCGGTACTAGTGGTTGAAAGAAGTAGGCTCAGAACCGGGAGCCGTAGCAGAATCTGGAGTCGAAGACCAGAACACTCTTTGGGTCACTGCGCCACCGAAGTAAGTAAATAAGTATCTTTTAGACCCAAAGTGGTCCCCAGTGGGGATGAATAATCCCAGGGAGGCAGTAGAGGCCTCGGAAGCAATTGGGGAGCTTTGATGCTGTTCAAGGGGTGTTACTGTATTTGAAAAAAAACCTGAATAATCTATATAAACTACATTACAAATATATTTTTTTTCTTGTGATTTTTTTCCTTGTGATTTTTTGTGTTAAGTTAAAATAAAAAACACGTGTTTTCAATTATTTTTTGTGGTGGTTGGCGTTGAAATTTTTTTATCTTGCCCAAGTGGGTGGTAAACCAATAAGTTTGGGAACCTGTGTTTGAGACCATGGTAGAGGAAAGAATCTTAAACAAAAAATTTCATTACTTCCTCCACAAAATCGTAACAGAACAATATATCTCATAATTAGTTAGTATCATCATATTTACCTGCCTCCGTGGCCGAACGGTTACCATACCGGACTGCCACGCAGAGGTCCCCGGGTTCGATTCCCGGGCCGGGATTAATATTTGTATGGCCTACATTTATTTCTCTCGTGAGTTTGGGTGTAACTTGTAGTTGTCTATGTGTGTGTCCATGGCACCCGCGACACAGGGTTTCCCTAGTGCGGGGCTATGTTGAGTGTGTGCGTTATTATTATTATTATCAATAAATTTGTGACGGGCCTAAACTAGGATACCCCGTAATTTAGGTATCAAAATATAGAAAAGCTGATTTTCATTTCGCAACACCTCTTTCAAGTGCATCCTCATAGTGTCAGCGTTGTAAAATCACTATCAGGTTACAAAGAATCACCTCTGTTCGTGCTGAGTGGAGGAACCAGAGTCGGTGCGATGCTGTTGGTGCTGTTGCTGCTGATGATGTGCGGGGGCGCTGCGCTGCGTGTAGTGCCCGCTGGAGCCGCCTGAATCGCGTGCAAACGACGAACCGCAACGACTGCAGAAAATTTTGTTTTTATATATTGGCTGAGATTACTAACGTTTGACAAGTTATAAAAAAAACAAAATGTTAGATTTTGTTTTCGTTTAATACAACAAAATAAAACCACTTGAGATAAAATTATTGAAATTAAAATTATTTAAAACAAATTTATAGAAATATTCAAATGGTATTTTTTTAAACGTAAACGAAATATTTAACAAAAAAAATAGGGTGTAAAAGATGATGACGTATTCAGTGTTTCATACTTCTAGAAATATTTATCTATCCAATTTCTAAAATAATTAACTGGTTAAAGGTCCTTGACCTTTAAAATTTAAATACAACTCTATAACACTTACGATTAGATCGGTTCAAAGTGTCAAACTTATTGTGCTCTTGACTGTTCAAAGTACATAGCAGCGCCATCTGTAGCCCGCATTGAACAATAATTTTAGACTAATCCTAATTTTATTGTATATTTTGATGCAAGATGATGCCCGACTCTTTTTTGAGGATGGAGTAAAATGACAGTTTATTGCGCAAAAGTGTTGCCCGCTTGCGAGCAGCTAGTGATTCCAGTCGATAACTATACTATCAACTATCGACTGAATATTGGACACGCTTATGGAAGAAATAGCCGAACTTGTTTGAATTCTTTTTCATTTGAATTATCCTCGACCAATTATTCATCCAATTACTGGGCACAAGTTCATTTGAATTATCAATTTTTGTAAGTTCATACATACACGCGCTGTATTTAGAACTATTTTTATGAAAAATACAAACAGGAGACATATTTTAAAGTTTTTTATTTTAATTCAATATAGATAATCAAATTTATTTTATTTTTATTTTTTTATTTATGGCACAATGTACAGACATCAGATACAGAAAATGAGGAAAATAAAAACACATAAAAATTAATACAACAGGCATATCTGTGCCCAATTATTACTGTGCTCAACATTCATTTTAAAACATTTAGACATACTTAAACAGACACTAAATCAATCATAAAAAAAAAGAAAAATCGAGAGAAATAAAAAATAGAGAGAATGAGAATATGCTATTCACTTTACATTAATGCTAGCAGTGACCTCTTAAATGCTGGGACACTGCAGTTAAAAATATCACAATTAGTACATATTTCATTATAATACCCACACATCCTATATAGAGGATTATTTTGTGATACATTGTTTTTTGAAATGGGTATACTAAATAGTCGTTGATTACGCACAGACCGAGTCGGCACCCTAAACAGTAGCATCCTTAGCAAGCCATCGTCAGAAAAACCATTGGCAATTTTGTGCAGTGCACGTAAATCATTCATCCACCTACGTTTTTCTAATGAAACCATATGAAAGTAGTTCAAACGATCACTGTATTCGCGCATTGCTTTACGTATACCACACTTCGCAGTCAAAGCTCGCAGGAATCTGCGCTGTATAGCCTCTAACCTGTCTATATGGATTCTTAATGAATCCGGCTATTCTTGTTAAAATGTATATGAATAAGAATTGACCTCGGTACTAGTAAGCCAAAATGTCAAAATAAGAAAAAAGAAGGCAATAACGCAATTAGTAATCATTAGAACGGCGTAACATTTCTGGCAAAATTTTGTATTCGTTCACAATCTATCGATAAAAGTATCGACAACAACTACATAACTATTTAAAATTTTATGAAAACTGGCAACCCTACAAATGTCATTTTACTCAGTCTTCAAAAAAGACAGACTATAGATATTATCAGCATATACTAAGTCCATTTAGCATTTCAGTCGCGATCTATCACCCGTTCCTGCCTTATTAATTGTGAAAACTATACTCTCCAATGTTGCGAAAGTGTTATTGTTAGCGTAACGCAATTCTTATTGTTTATTTTCATTAAACATGTGATATTAAAACATAAAATTTCACAGAATGGTATTGCCTCAGTTTTGTAGGCATCGACGATAGTTCGTTCTCAGATTGGTACTTCAGAATGAAGGTCGGGTCAATGACCGCTATTGACCTGCTAAATGGTACAAACCACAGAAACATCTAATGCTCCTATTACCTGTTATACGACTGATAATTATCATCTCCTGGACTAGGCTGCTCCGAAAAGGCATCACAAGAAGAAATGAGGCTGGAGTGATTTGACCGCGTGCCTTTAGAGGAGCAGCTGGCGGTTCGTTGATGAGCCGAATGGCGGCGCCGCCGGCCCGAACGGCCCATGGTTTCGGTACCGCTCATTTGCATGCTGCAAAGACAAAATGTTGGTTACATACGAAGATACCACTGAATGGATCGTGCGCTTTTGGAGGAGCATCTGGCGGTCTGTTGGTGGGCGATATAGCTGCTGTCCAAAGGCACTTAGGCTTTCAGTGTTATGACATTTTCGCGTTCCAGCAAAAACGAGACTTACAGCGCCATTTTTTTTTTTCTTATTTTATAATATCAAGTGACGGGACGAACTGATGGAAACAGTGCCACTCAGAGCTTTAAATTGCAAAGATTTGAGGGGCACTATCATTGCGGCCGTCACCCTGACAAAACCCATGTGCCTGCAATTTCACCAGCGCCCTTACCCTTCAAAACCGGAACACAGTAATGTTGACATTACTGCTTGGCGACAGAAATAGATAAGGAAGCAGTAGTTCCCTGGACGAACTCTTTCATAAAGAGCTCTACTGGTCCTAAAATGTACTTGCCATGTAGTGATTTCTTTGTTATCACTACAAATTAGGGTAGCTTTGATAAATTACTGCTTGTCAATGTACAAAAATAGCTATTTGGTACTGGTCGCGACATCTGGTGCACCAATGGGTACCAAATACCCAACTATGCTGGCTTGCATAGCGATTAGTAGTCCTCTCGACTTATTGGTCCATGCTCAGAACCTTGGGGCATCGAATGTGCATGAAATAAGGAGGTTATACCGTTTTGTCTGCTCTCCTATTTTGACTCCAGTTACAAGTAAATCCCGCCCATTGAAGTTACTAATTCTTTACTAAGACCTTGGAACTAAAGGACACTAAGTGACTTACTGTTCGGGATAACATCTGGCCTGCGTGTGCAAATCAGGCAAGGATTTGTGGCTGTTGATGTTGGGACAGCTATCTTCTTCGCGCATGCTAGGTTGAGAGTGAGAATTGGATCTATAACAAACAACTTGTCAGTGAGTAAACTATTTATTATAGGACTATACTGTAACTAGTTATGCTGAAGCTACTGAGACTCTGGAGTTGATTTTTGGGGGAAGCTATTTTACTTTGGTTTTTATTTCTACATAATCCACCAGGACGCTGTAGACGAAGCTCTTTATGATATTTAGATTGTTATGAAAAAAAATTTAAAATCGCCATGACGTAAGTAACTCTATTACGATACTTCCGATGTAAGTTGTTGCAAATCAAAATACCATAGTTTACATTTGAAGCCAAATATATACTTTTTTGCATATTATAGGGGATTTAAAAGCATAGAAATCACTTAGTGTTTAAGGAATGAAAATATTTTTCCGGATTTAAATCGCGTATATTCGTGTTTTGAAACAAACCAACGTTTCGGGCCCTTTACAGGTTCCATGGTCACGGTTGACTCAACTGGATTTAAATCCGTATATTTGTATTATATTTAATATGTTGGAAAAAACAAATATACGCGATTTAAATCCGCAAAAATAGTTTCATTTCCTATGTGTAACAATCATTGTTAACAAGTGTTTGTTATGTTTACTTTCAAACATTGAACCAATAATATACATAAAAAAAGGATATATTTAAGTTAAAAAGCAAAAAATGGTATTTTGACAGGCTAAGTTGCTACGTGTGAGGTATCGTATGGTTGTCTGGGAAACTCGGTTACAAGAAATGGATGAATGGGCCAGTATGATTGATATCTATCCGTAATAATGTCATATTTGCGTCCTTGCTGCCCTCGCACTGTGTTTTTTTAATGATACAAATTGACGGAACGAACAAGTCGTGTACCTGCTGGTAAACGCCTGTCCATAACAATTGCAGTACCGCTCAGAGCTTCAAATCGGTGGCAGAAATAAGTAAGGTGGCAGTACTTCTCTGGACGAACTCTTTCACAAGGAGTGGTGCTACTAAACTGTGTTACTTGGTAACTGATGATGACAAGGTATCATAGACAAGAAACCGAAGTATACCTGATATATCTAGGTGCAGAGTGGGCATAATGTGGTGGCGGACTGATAGGCGGGGCCAAATCCTGAGGTGAGGATCCACCAGACCCTGACACTTCCACTGGATCCGGTAGAGATAGTCCAACCAACTCCAGTCGTTCTAGCCGCTCCGCTGACCCCTGCAGTGCGTGCTCTGGACTCGAGTGAGAACTCGCTGATGCAAAATAATAAATTAGATAGATAGATAAATATACACTCGAACAAAAATAGTAGGTACATAAACAAATTAAAAGTAATGTGGGCAAAAGCGGGCTAATCGCTAAGAGCGATCTCTTCCAGATAACCTTTGAGGAAATTATTGAAAATAGTACACGCATCTCGGAAAATGACACACATTCTTTCCTTTTTTTTGTAACAGGCAGATTTTCAGAGGTTCACATTTTCGAATACCTGAAAGAGATTCCATCTCGAAAGAGTTCTATATAGTCTATAAAACCTCCAGGCCGAGATTCCCAAAGCATTCTATATCGAGCCCCAGGTATAAAAAAACTCCGCCCTTTCCTGTACGCCAGGGTGCCTGTCGAACAATCGGCGAGTATCTTACGATAATCCTTTAACCACGATGATATACCTTTGCGAAATAGCATTGTTTGTTGAAAACAGACAATATTAATGATACTCCTTCATGGGTAGATTATTAGTTTAATATTAACAATTTATTGCTCAATGCCACGAAAACAAAGTGTGTTAAATTTGAAGTACCTAATGTAAAATCGACTAGCTCAATCATAGAAATAAATGGAGAAAAGTTAGACTCTGCTGCAAACGCAGTCCGTAGAATATGTGAACTTACCGATGTTTCTACTGCTAGACTAGTTTGCTTTAGTTACTTCCATAGTATAATGTCCTACGGGATTCTCATGTGGAGTAAAGCGGCAGATATACAAATCATATTTGTATTGCAAAAACGAGCGATTCGTTCTGTGTACCATTTAGGTTCTCGTATTTCTTTCAGAGAAAAGTTTAAGGAGACTGGTATCATGACTGTGGCATTGCAGTACATTTATTCAAATATTTTCTATGCCCATAAAATATACATAATTTCGTTAAGAAAGAAGATATCCATAATACAAACCTTAGAACTAAGTCCAAACTCATGGTACGACGTTTTCGTTTAAGTAAGCTAAACGATTCTTTTATGAGGAACTGTATACGTTTTTACAATAAGATTTCGGAGCATGTATTAAGTTTAGCATTCCCTAAGTTTAAAACTTACATTAAAAGTATTTTAATTGAAAAGTTACATTACAAAATTGTAGACTACGTATTAGATAAAGATGTATGAAAAGACAACGTGAGTCTCGATTCCACACAAATATGATTCAAAATGTATTCTATAGCATTTCAGTTTATTTGAAAAGAGTTTTTCTCAGGGAAGTCAGCGTAGTGAACGAGTGGTAGCTTAAAAAATGACGTTTTCAAGAGTAAAAATTTTACCTATGGAATACATGATTATTTGACATTGATAACCATTACAGTGTTTGTCTTCGCCACGATAAGACGAAAGTAGGTTGCATCGAGTATATAACCAGAAATAGAGGCCAAATATCATATAATTTGTTTGAAAACTATACTGCCATATCATTACTGTGACAACTGCGCTCCTATTGGCTAGCCCGAGTTCGAAACAATTCATAGGTGTTGTCAATGGGTGTCGTCAACTGTTTCACTTCTTATCGACCAGTTAACTTGAGCTTTGCTATAATGGACGAAAATTGCAAAATTTTGTAATTAGATGTTTTGCTGTTTTTCCCACACTACCGAATAGAACAGCACGGCATTGTTAGAGATATTATCTATATGTATTACAATAAATACAGAATATTTTTGGAATATACGGAGACGTCCACACAGGTCAGTAGTTGGCCTGTCTATATTTCAGTGCAAACGATAGTTGATATTTATAAGAGCTGTATCGGTAATGTGTTACCAGGAGTATATGGCCCTTATTTCGTCTTTATTTCTGGTTATATACTCTCAGGTTGTGACCAAAATTTTGTGTTTCCATAAGTGGAATAATCCACATTACATGGATAGTACCCATGTAAAATGACCTAAGAAGTATTTAAGCATTTCACAACAAACAAGATATTCGGTTATAGTCTGTCTTTTTTGAAAACGTAGTAAAATGACATTTGCAGGGTTGCCAGATTTCATAAAATTTTAAATAGTTATGTAGTTGTTGTCGATTGTTTTATCGATAGACTGTGATAAAATATAAAATTTTGCCAAAAATGATTGAATTCTGAATGTTACGATGTTCTAATGATTAATTGATTACCGTCTTATTTTTATTTTGACAGTTGGCCTACTAGTATCGAGATCAATTTTTATCCATATACATTTTAACAAGAATAGCTGAATTTGATATATTGAATTAAAAAGCAAAACTTTAAAATATGTCTCCTCGTTGCATTTTTCATAAATATAGTTCTAAATACAACATACGTATGAAAGAACTTACAAAATTGACAATTCAAATGAACTTGTGCCAGTAATTGGATGAATAATATGTCGAGGATGATTCGAATGAAACAAGTTCGGCCATTTATTGTATAAGCGTGACCAACAATCGGTCGATAGTCGATAGAATATTTATCGACTGCAATCACTAGCTGCTCGCAAGCGGGTAACACTTTTGCGTTATGAACTGTCATTATACTCCGTTTTTAAAAAATACAGACTTTAGATAAATGTATAAAACTTAACAAGTGTTTCTTTTTATAAAGCTCACTTATAGTGGAACGTATGAAAGTGAGCTCTGTGTCAACTGTCAAAAACACATTGTCGGCGAAATTTAAAAATGTTGTAGTTCCGTTATTGGACTCTGATCCATTTTTTACTGTTTAAGCGCAATATCGGACAACTAAAGCTTAAAATATGATTTCTAGGTCAAAGGTATATTTTTTAAAGGTCATACAAAATTATTCGCGTTAATGGAGTTACGAGGTTTAAGAATTCAGCTGACGACATTTTATTTGAAAAAAATCCGTATTAGAATGTCAGAGGGCCCAGAACATACAAAATTGGCACGTGGTCTATGAGAAAAAGAAGTTCAGGAATCTCTGCTCTAGGCAAAACGATATGATGCACGTATGGCCATGAACAACTATAATAGCTTAAATACAGATACCTGTGTTACAAAAATAAATAATAGGGGTTAAAGTATGAAATTGCCGATTTGTACTGAAAATCTAAATTGTTTATTTTTTAAATTTTTAACAAATTTATTTAATCAAAATAGTTGCCATTATTATCTATACATTGCTGCCATCTAATGGGAAGGTTATTAATGCCTTTGCGATAGAACTCCGACGATCTAGACTGCACAAACTGTGTGAAAGCATTTTGTACAGCCTCCTGGGAAGAAAACTTCTTGTCACGTAGATAATTGTCCAAATCACGAAAAAAATGGTAGTCCGTTGGAGCAAGGTCTGGTGAATACGGAGGATGACGAATGGTTTCTAACTGCAGTTCCTGAAGGGTCAAAATGGTTTCTCGTGCTGTGTGATTCATGAGTCGGGGCTGTTTTACTGCTAGTTTTGTCAACATGGTTCGGAGTTCGGCATAATAGACATCTGCCGTTATTGCTTGACCAGATCGGAGAAAACTATAGTGAATAACACCATGCTGAGACCACAAAACAGTTACCATTACCTTTTTATTGGTAAGTTTTGCTTTAGGACACTGTTGTGGCATTTGACCTGGGGTCAGACATTGCATTTTTCTTTTCCGGTTATCATAAAGAATCCACTTTTCATCACATGTTACAATTCGATCCAATATTCCTTCATTTCTGTACCGGTTCAACAAGGCAACACAAGTTTCAACACGCGTTTCTTTCTGCAGATCAGTCAAATCATGAGGCACCCATTTTTCGTATTTTTTTATTTTATTGATTTGACGCAAGTGAGTCAATATTGTGGGTAAGGTAACGTTAAATCATGCCGCTAATTCCTGGGTAGTTTGACTAGGATCGGCTTCCACTATCTCTCTTAATTCATCGTTATTCACCTGTGTGGGCGGTCTTCCTCGTGCCTCGTTCTTTAAGTCGAAATTTCCATCACGAAAGCGTTTAAACCAAAATCGCACGGTGCGTTCATTAGTAGACCCCTCTCCAAACGCAGCATTGATATTGCGGGCTGTTTCTGCCGCGTTAGTTCCGCGTCGGAACTCGTATTCAAAAATCACTCGAATTTTCGCAGTATCCATCTTTCTTGCCTAAATTGAATAACAAAAACAATTGAAAGTCGGTATTCAAATGTTTCAAATTTAAAAAAAAAAAAAATCACAGAAACCATTTGAAAAAAGTTTCATTCGAAAACCTCAAACCATGAAGATTCTATGAAAATTCAAAGAACCTATTGCAATAAAACGGCAATTTCATACTTTAACCCCTAATACATTAAAATGTTAAAAAATCGACTCACGTATTGAATAAGCGCTTTTGATAATGACTTCCGGTCTTTGCCTTGGTATAACAAACGACTCTGGAAAGAACACTCTCGCGTCGCCAAAGCTCAAGGGCCGGTTAATTTTCTCTCGATGCTCAGGGTCTGATTTCTGCGCCTTTGACCCTGAGGTACCTGATGACGAAGTTCCGGAGAAGGTTCCAGAGTTGTGTTGCGATCTTGACATGTCCCGATCTGGATAATCTTTTAGGCGACGTGATTCTGAGTAGATTTTGTGCTCTGTAAATGATAATTTTGAAATTAAATAATTCTCGGGAAATTCGTGTAATCAGTGTCAGTGTACTACTATGTCCTTTACTGAGGGAAAAGCTAACGTGATTACAGATACAGGATACTTGATTTTATGTTTCATTATGTTCCATGGTCAGCAAAGTACTTGCGGAACTATTTGTGAATTTTAAAAAAATGTTCCTTTTTTTGTTCATAAAATGAGCACACATATGTCCTCCATCTCACGTGATAGAAAGACAATGAGGTCGACGCTGGAGCATACACACATATAGGTATTAATGCCTATTCATCTCGCCTTGAAAATCTCAAGTCACAGTATTCAGGAAACAAATATACAAGCAGAGAATTCATCTGCACAGAATCTTGTGAATCATTAGTATATCCACAACATAATGATGGAACCCCTCGACTCCAGGATAGCGGAATTATTACATGCGTTAGAATTACTAGTCACATAACACGCTGGACATGGACTATTTTTTAACCGACTTAAAAAAAAGGAGGAGGTTCTCCATCCGACTGGTTTTTTTTATGTATGTTACGCGTTAACTTCGGGCGGTAATTTGTGAACCGATTTTGATGGTACTTTTTTTTGGAAAAAGGGTACCTCAGTATTGGTCCCATTTAAATTTGAGGAAAATATGCCATTTCTAAGGGTGTCAAACTAGGGGATGAATCCGGTTTCGCGCATTTTCCGGTAACCGATTTCAATTAAACTTGGCAAATAGGTGTAATTCCACGAACTTTTGAGGTCGGTTTTTTACGTTGTAATATGTTACTGGTTGTAACACTTAATAATAAAAAAATATAAATAGACTGCCAATATTCAAATTAGACACTTCCAGATTAAATTATATATAAATTATAATATTTATGTTATAATTTGAACTAGGAGTATAGTATCTAAATACAAAAACATCTTTTCCTTAAAATTCCTTCAAAACTAAGTAGGTAAGTATAAGATAATATTTGGATATCGACTGTGAACTGGCAACCGGTATTATCTCAATTTTGATAACTTTACAGGATGAAGAAACAATAATTTATATAGCATTTAATAACGCACACACACTCAACATAGCCCCGCTCTAGGGATACCTTGTGTCGCGGGTGCCAACTGACACACACATAGACAACCACAAAGTATACCCAAACTCACGAGAGAAATAAATGTAGGCCATAAAAATATTTATCCCGGCCCGGTAATCGAACCTGGGACTTCTGCGTGGCAGTCCGGCATGGTAACCGTTCGGCCACAGAGGCAGTTAGGAGCAAGTGAGGAGGAGGAGCATCTGGTTTATTAAATAAAAATACGTAGTGTACATATGTAATAAAAATATTTAAAAACTACGTATGTTTATTTAATAAACCAGATTCTATTTAAATGACGCAAACAATTTTTTCTTCATCCTGTAAAGTTGTCTAAATTGAGATAGTACCGATTGCCAGTTCACTCTCAATCATGAAAGTGACTATCTCTGTGGACTTAGATACTTACGAACAGCGTAAGCTGGGGAGTATACATTTTCTCTACTGTCCGAATGTTCCAGCAGTCTTCGAAGGGTATTCTGCAGACCCTCACCCGCGCTGACTGCCCGTCGCGCCCCTCCCAGTCTTGTCGTTGCATCTGATAATTGCATTATTAACGATCAAATTGGTGACCGTCATAATAACGGAGTTATGAGCAGCAAAAACTTACAACGAAATCTTAGTTATAGTACATTGTATGTGTTTTTTAATGTATGTTATGTTATTATAATTTGTGAACCGATTGTGATGATTATTTTTTTGTTGGAAGGAAATTACCTCAGTAGTGGTCCCATTTAAATTTCAAGTAAATATTCCCCACCTATAAAGGTGGCACACTAGGGGATGAATGACTTTTGAGGTCGGGATTATTTATAATTTAATATCCACCTGTATAATGAGTACTTTTTCCTGAAATACAGGATTCTCCTAGTTTAGGCACATGTGTTATATTTTACATTTCTACAATAAATTATTCAATAAACAATTTTATTATTTATTATTGTGTGTTAAGCGCGGTAAATAAGGAAGTACTTATATACTATTAGAATTCCGAAATCGAAGAAGGGATTTCGGAGTCGAAGTTCATAATTCCCGTATTTTTCACAGTCCCGCCCGTGAAACATACCATGTTTTTCATCACACTTGCTCATATATATCAATAGTGAGATTGCATGCAGGCTAACTAGGCTATAATGCCGCAAATAAAACCCTTCGAGGTTTTTATTTGGGGCTTTTTTCTTTTAATTACAACCATGGTCGGTAATGAATTTTCTTTTAATTTGTGGAATAAATTTTATTTGGGGCATTACAGTCAAGTTGGCTTGTCTGCAATCATACTATTTACGTGCAAGTGTGATGAAAAAAGTTACGAACATTCAATTTGGACCAGAATTTTTATTAGGTTGTGTTTAGAAAGGAAATTCGCAGAACTTACAAGGGTTACAGCAGGCATCTTGGTTAAGTGTTCCAGAGCTGACTAAATGGCATCCGCCTGCAGCAATTGCCTGACCCAGTCCACTGCTCACCTGAAAGAAGTAAGTAATAGATATTGTTGTTGAGCACGAAAGGAGCTGCCCCGCACGACGTACCATACCTTTACCGTACGTCGGCGAGTACCGTACGCCGATTGGCAAATATTTTCACCACAATTGCAAGCATTACAGTGCATGCAATCGATACGATAAGAAAATTTTGACTCTGCAATTGTAAGTACTAATTGTGATTCTCGAGCTTAATATGCATTGGAAACGAACCTGATTATCAACAAAAGTTACGTCCGGTTTCTAAATGTTTCCTGTTTGTTCCAGTGTCTCTCAAAAACCTAGCGATTTTAACCTTTGAGTGCTCAGACCGCACGACTCGTCCCGTGACTTGGTATAGTAAAACATAACATTGATCAAACTCTTACCCTAAGAGGTAATTCCTGTTTCCGGTCCAGCACCGTCTCAGACTTGACGTAGAAGGCCTTTGTCTCAGCCAGCAGCTCGACGGCACTTTTGCGCTTTTGTTGCGGCTGCGGCGCGAGGGACCGCGGCGCCGCCATACCGTCCTTCTTGCGCGGCAACTTGAAGCTCGCGAACAAGGAGTCTGCTAGGCGACGCCTGGAATAAATAGTTGCGTTCCTTGAAACCCGATAAATAAAGGTGTCAGACTGTTACACCAATACTTAAGGACTATCTGTAAACTTTTTATGTATGTGGTGCTAAGAATAAATAATTTTCTACATATATCTGTCTATACACATGCCGTGCTCCGTGAGGGGCTTAAATAATATCGCTGCGTGCTGCGTAATATAAACTCGTTTACACATTAGTCCGGGCCGGCGCCAGGACGGGCCCGGGGCACGGCCCCATCGAGTATATAACTAGAAATAGAGACGAAATAAGGGCCATCCATCCCTGGCAACTCATCAAAAAAATGGGTCTTATATCACTTTTAAATATCGACTCTCGTTTGGCTGAAATCACAAATTAGAAAGCTGAAATAGTACAGCGCCAACAACTGACCTGTGTGTCACGTATTCGTATATTTCAAAAATATTCTGTATTTATTGTAATATAGATAATATCGGGGCTGTTCCATTCGGTGGTGTGGGCAAAACATCTAATTACAAAACAAACGGAATCATATTTCATCGGTAATTAAATATCAAATATGTAATTTTTCAATTTTCATCCAATATAGCAAAGCTCAAGGTAAACTGGTCGGTTGACGACACCCGTCAATTGTTTCGAATTCGGGCTGTCCAATCGGAGCGCAGTTGTTACCGTAATGATATGGCAGAATAGTTTTCAAACAAATTAAATGACATTTCGTCTCTATTTCTGGTTATACGCTCGATATACGGTTGTGATGGTTAGACCTTTAGATTGACTATTTAGAAAATGGTTGTCAAAATTGTTATAACTTTAAGATCTGTTGAGGAATAAGTTATAACTTCATTTAGTACTATTATTATATTATACGTTAATAATTAAGATTACGAACAGATTATAGGGATGATAGGGTCATAACTGAGTTAGTGACCTTTTTGTGACCATAGTTTATCTTTACGACACAAAGTATCTTTATACTTAGTGTCCTTCTTTAAAATGTGAATAATTTGTGTTTTAATTTAATTTTTTTGTTTTGTTTGTGGTTTTCTAATAATTTATTTATGTTTCAGGTTTGAATGTTTGTTTTTTTTTCCTAATTTCTTTTTCTATTTGTAAAAATGATTTATTATTTTTTTATTTTGTTGCATTAGCTTGTTTTGCAATACGTTACTCAGTTATATTCAAATTCAAAATTGAATTTCATTTTAATTATTAATACAAAGATC